GTTCTTGGGCTTGTCAGAGAGGTCTTGACAAGGTCTATTGAATGCCATAAGGCGTGGAAAAATCAAGCCAATTTTTCAGGCTTTTTGGAGCAAACTAAAAGTTGTAGAACCCAACGCTTCCAAGACCGTCTATTTTCAACTCTCACAGCCTTCATCTACTTGCACCCTCAATGCTCGTCTTTAAGCTCTTGATAGAACTTGGCAAGACCTTGCCAGTGATACCAAGAAGTTGAGAATTGACTGAAAAATGAGGAAGTTCTGACTTCGCCAATTTTGGGTCCATTTGGAGCCCGTTTTGAGCACTTTTCACCCGGTTTAGAAGTACAGAAAGGGCTTAGGATTTTGTCACCTATGTAGACTCACATATTCAGAAAAGTCCTCTTTCGTTCCCATTTTTCGACTTCTGGCAACGTCTATTTCCAGTCCATCCGAGGTTAATGCAAATTTTCTTCCCCTGTCCATAGGATCCACGCCCTTGGAGCTGCGAGGCTGAGCTTTGGTGTACAGAATCCTTGAACTCTACACAACTTATGAAATACAGACATTTAGGGCTCTAGCTCGCACCGTTTACGAGCTGTAAGCCCAAATAGAAATCGGGCAAGAACAAAATTTCCACTGCATTCCCAGCCAAACTTGTTTTCTTAGCGCTTGAAAAGCGCTCACTCAGGCCTTCTCAGCAACGTCCAGGTTGTCTTGATCTGACCTCTTAAATCTGTCCAACAGGTCTTTCAAATTGACTAAGACTTTTGTACATTTTCCGCATGTTTAGTCCTTCAAATCTTTAGAAGGAGAACGCAGATTGGCCAACTCTTTGCAGCTACCAGGAGTCCTTTTTAGGGTCTCTCACTGACATAAGTGGGAAGTGTCAATTGCATACCATTCTCGAGATCTGGGAGGTTGAAAATGGTCAAAAACTCCCAATTTGTCAATTTCTAAACACAATCTTTGCTGTAAATAAGAGACAAATTTTCTCCCCTTTCCGGACACCTTGTGTTTATGACTCCGACTTTAATCGTGTGCCTCGTTTTCTTCCCTTTCCAACGACACCAAACTCGTCTCCATCCGATAATAAATGAGAAAGTTATGAGCTTCGGAAAATTCCAATTCTTCCTTTACTTTTGCATGTATCCGTGACTTTCACTTTCCACTTTCATTTCATTTGACCTAAATAGTTCATGACCTAGATAGTTCATCTTCGTTTTTAGCCCTATTCCTAAACCTAACCCTAACACTAACCCTAACCCTGACGTCTACCTTAAATAATTGTTAGGTTTAAGATAACTTAAATTTGATCAATATAAGGGAAAGAAAAGAAATACAAGGTAACAAAATAAGTTTAATCTTTGTAAAAGAGAAGCTTAACAACAGGACAGGTTTAAAACTAGTCCCGTCCTCTAATTAACTCATCACATACAGCGTTCACCGTCTCAGTTACATCAAAGAGCGATCGCTAGCTTTGTGTATTGGATGCCAATCAGAAACCGGTTTGGAAATGCTGTGTCAACACTGAGCCCGTTCACAGTCTCAGTTACATCAAAGAGCGATCGCTAGCTTTGTGTATTAAATGCCATCAAAAACCGGTTTTGAAATGCCGTCTCAACACTGAGCGCGTGCAGACTTGGACATTCACAGAAAGTCATCGGAGAGAGAAGACGTGGAAAAGGTAGGCAGAATATTTCACAGTTAGCTTAGATTTCTTTTTTTTTTAGCTCTAATTTGATAAAGGTGGAAGACTTTAAGCAAAGGAGCAACTATTTGTATATTAGGCAATAGTTTTCTTGATACCGTAGAAGTAGACGTTTTAGCGAGGATGTAATTTATTATTACATCCTCCGCATGTTATTACACCCAAAGATTAAACTTATTTTGCTACCCTTAGTTTACGTTTCAGAAAGTCTTTCATTTTATATACATTACATAACAATATAATACAGGAGATAATTTGAACAAAGTTTTAATTTATATGCTTTAATTTTTAATCATAATCAAAATCTATATCATTTCAAACTCTATAAACTACATAAATCCGGTGTGATTTTTTTTCGCTATCCATTTATCCTAACCCTGATTTGAAAACTATCACAATATCTCATTTCCTAAATTATTAAACACAAAAACAATGTTATGATTTCCGGCTTGTTTTTCACCATCACTTAAGCTCTTGACATAACCTTGTTCTCTGTATTCTTAGCTTTAAAATGACACCAAACTTGTCTAAATCGAACGACAAATAAAAAAGTTATGGGCCAAAGAAAATTCCATTATATCCTCTAAATAACTAACCCTGTACAACTTTCACTTTCCACTTTCATTTTGTTTGACCTGACATGACCCGGCATGACCTAATTCCGGCATCTTCGTTTTTAGCCCTATCCCTAACCCCTAACCCTAACCCTAACCCTAACCCTAACCCCTAACCCTAACCCTAACCCTAACCCCTAACCCTAACCCTAACCCTAACCCCTAACCCTAACCCTAACCCTAACCCCTAACCCTACCCCTAACCCTAACCCTAACCCCTAACCCTAACCCTAACCCTAACCCTAACCCTAACTTGTATAAAAAAGATGCCGTTGCTTTCTCAAACAATACATCATAATTAGCAATTAAAAAAAATCAAATGAAATATAACCTTAGATCAAGAAAATCACCCATTAAAAACACAACAGTATATAAACGTCCGAATCGAAAGAAATCAAGCAACAAAACACCTACTTTCACAATAAAATGATTGACAATCACGTGATAAAATAGGCGGAGTTCCGCATTCCCGCACCCGCATCACGTCAAAGTGCCTATACCCTAACCCCTAACCCTAACCCTAACCCTAACTTGTATAAAAAAGATGCCGTTGCTTTCTCAAACAATACATCATAATTAGCAATTAAAAAAAATCAAATGAAATATTACCTTAGATCAAGAAAATCACCCATTAAAAACACAACAGTATATAAACGTCCGAATCGAAAGAAATCAAGCAACAAAACACCTACTTTCACAATAAAATGATTGACAATCACGTGATAAAATAGGCGGAGTTCCGCATTCCCGCACCCGCATCACGTCAAAGTGCCTATACCCTAACCCTAACCCTAACCCTAACCCTAACCCTAACCCTAACCCTAACCCCTAAACCCTAACCCTAACCCTAACCGTAACCCTTAACCCTTAACCCTAACCGTAACCCTAACCCTTAACCCTAACCCTAACCTTAACCCTTAACCCTAACCCTAACCCTAACCCTAACCCCTAACCCTAACCCTGCTGAGACCTTTTCGGCAATCTGCAGGCTCTCGAGAACTGACGACTTTAACTTGTCCAATGCCGGTTTCAAATTGTCTAAGACTTTGGTAGATTTTCCATATGTTTAGTCATTAATATCTTTGGAGAGAGAAAGTATTTCTGCAAACTCTTTGCAGCTTCCAGGAGTCCCTGTCAGGGTGTATCACTGACATAAGAGCAGTGTGTCGATTGCATGCTATTCTACAGATACTGAAGGTTGAAAACGGTCAAGAATTCTCCATTTGTTAATTTCTTCGGTGTAGATAAGAAGCTATTTTTCTCCCTTTTCCTGTCACTTAGGTTTCAAGTGTCTGATTTAGTCATTTTGCCCGTTTTCTTACCTTTCCAACAACACCAAACTCGTCTTGATCCGATAAAAAATAAGAAAGTTATGAGCTTCTGAAAATTCCACTTTGTCCTTTACTAATTTCTTCTATCCGTGACTTTCACTTTTCACTTTCATTTTCTTAATCTTTTAATCTCCGTTGACCTACTTGGGCACTTTAATCCACGGGCATTTTCGTTTTTATCCTATACCCTAACCCTAACCCACAAATAAGAAAGTCATAAGCTTCGGAAAATTCCAGTTTTTCCTTTACTTTTGCATGTATCCGTGACTTTCACTTTCAACTTTCATTTCATTTGACCTAGATAGTTCATGACCTAGATAGTTCATCTTCGCTTTTAGCCCTAACCCTAACCCTAACCCTAACCCTAACCCTAACCCTAACCCTGACCCTAACCCTAACCCCCATTAACCCTAACCCTAACCCCCACTTACCCTAACCAACGTTAATCCTGACTTTAACCCCTGCAAACACTATTTTTCTTTTTTTGCTCATATCTTTTGACTGACTGCTCCGATGTTAACGTTCTTGGTGTCGTTGGAAAGGTATTGTCGTTTCAGTGAGCAAGAAGTCGAATAACAAGCGATATTCTCAAAAGGCTTGCAAACGGCAAAAAATCTTTATTTCGTGACGGATTTTCAACTTCTTGGGCTTGTCAGAGAGCTCTGGACAAGGTCTATCGAATGCCGTAAAGTGTAAAAAGATCAAGCCATTTTTTGAGGCTTTCTAGAGCAAATATTGCCTAGGTGTACCCACGCGCTTTACACACACATCTTTCAACCCTCGCAACTTTTACCGTTTTTGTCCTTTAACAACCATCTTCAAATCGTGGACAGAACTTGCCAAGAGCTTTCCAATGAGACCAAGACTTTGAAGATTGCTTGAAAACTAAGAGAGATTCGGCCCTTACAATTTGGCGTCCATTTGCCACCCCTTTGGAACAGTTTTTGGTCATTTCAGCGAGAGAGGTTCAGGTCAGGGTATCGAGGCCTACGAAACCTTGTATAAGAAGAAAAGTTCCTTTTTGTCTCAATATTTCGACTACTGGGGACCTTGTCTTCCGGTCCAACCGGAATTACGGCACCTTTTCTTCAAATACCCATAGGTAACACGCCCTTGGGACTAGCAGGCTGAGCTTTGGTATGTGGATTCCTTGAGGTCTTCTTAACCTTTTATGTACGAGTTTAGGGCCTCTATCTCTCACCGTTTTCGCGCTATCGCCCGGAAAAAGAACTTAGCGCGGAACGCAAATTTACCTCCTCTCCGAGCATAACCGGTTTTGGGGGCACTTGAACAGATCCTGCTGAGACCTTTTCGGCAATCTGCAGGCTGTCGAGATCTGACAACTTTAACTTGGAATTTTCCTTTATAGTCCATATATTACTAGAATTATTTTGATCGAGATATTTTAATACCATTGTGCAGGATATTGTGTGTAGCTTCTGGTAGCTTCATAAGTACATCAAATATACTCTTCCCCTGGGTTGGTTTGTTATTGTTGGGATCATTCTCTACTTTGCACACCCATGCCGAAATCGTTTGACATCTGAATTTTTTTATCCATCATTACTGTCCTTGCGTGACTTATTATTTAAATGTTTTTAAGTGTCAAATGAATCTAACTTACATCAATTCAGACAAAGACTTTTCTTTTTTAAAATTTTCAAAGCCGTACGGAACAGTAGATTGTTTAATTACTAAAGTCTTAAAGACTTACCCAAAATCTTTGAGGACACGAACATGGGTCGTTGGGTCAATATCAGTCCTCCCGCTGTCAATTCTACGTATCTGCACAGCATAAGTATTACCGGATTCTTCCAGCAACAAAGATATGACCCGACCTATATTTTCATCTAGATCTGCTTTCACAAATTTGCTCTGACACAATGCAGAGTTGATGCATTTGATGTCGATCTTGACATACATGTGGTCAGCCATTTCCTTCCCGGGAAACTGGCTGTTTATTAAACTGGTTCTTATAAAACTCGTGATCAGGTAGACGCTTATTTATGTTTAGCTCAGATGTGTTGAATATCAAACATTTCATTGATTTAGTTGAAATAATAGAGCATATCGATCCCGATTTTATTTTTAAAAATCGATCAACACAGGATCGGCGCAAATTTTGAAAATAAAAATGAATTCAACGTCTTTTATTTTTATTTGGTATTAGGACAAAATTGAGTTGGCGCTTCCCGTTAAACAGAAAATAAAAAAAAACTCTGGTCTTACACATAGATGCTGTATACCATATTTGATTGAAACTGATTCAGTGGTTTCAATGATGAAGCTAAAAATGTTCTAATGTTAACACACTACACACGACACACGACGAACGGCGGCGGACGAAAACGGATAACAATAGGTCACCTGAGTGACTCAGGTGACCTAAAAACGTGAAGTTTATGTGATAATAAATCATTGTCTTATGCATATCCTTATAACACGTGAATAAATATTCCTTTATCATTGCATTAGGTCATTGAAATAATTGTGCTGAATTCATATTGTGGAAAGTAACACGGTTTTTATAATAAAAGATAAAAAAGAAATGAAATTGCCGATTAATTTTGCATTGTAAATTTAAATACCTGTAGCTATCTTAGTGCACACAAATAAGATATATGATTGAAAAAGAATATCAGCAAGTAAAATAAACGACTTAAATCCCCCTACCCACATACTTTTCACTATCATAGCAAGTTTAAAAAAATTAATTTGAGAAAAATCTATGCGTGAAAAGAAGAAAACTCAACATTTAGATATATTGACGAAGTAGTGTCAATCAACAATGGCAATTTCCATTCTTATGTGTAATCGATATATCCTGGTGAGCTTGAGATAAAAGATACCTCAGAGTCTGACACATCTATTTCATATTTAAATATTTTACTTGAACAAGACATTAATGGTAATCTAACAAACAAGCTCTTTGATAAACGTGATGACTGCAACTTTTCTATTGTCAGCTTCCCTTACTTATGCAGCAATATATCTTCATTACCTGCATTCGAAGTTTATATATCTCAGTTGATTTGATACGCAAAAGCATGCTCTACGTATAAATATTTTCTAAAACGAGGTAAATTATTGACAAACATGTTAATTAAACAAGAATTTTAGCAGTTTCGTTTTATAGTCATAATTGCGTAAATTCTATGGTCGATACTATGACCTTGTTAGCAAATACAATTTATCAATGAGTCAAATGATGACTGACGCTTTTCATACTTATTGTTTGTCCAGTATTTATACACTGAATTGACGACGGATTTTCCCTTTATTTTCCGATTATGACAAGGATCACTTGGTGGGTGTGACCGGTCGGCAGGGGATGCTAACTTCTCCTTGGCACATGATCCCAACTCCGATGTATTGGAGGTCTGTGTTTGTTATGCTCCTATTTTGTATTGTTTTATGAAATTTTGATCTTGAATATTGTTCGTTATCTCCATTTGTTTCATTTATACATTTATACATTTTCTAACTATTTTATAACTTAAACATTTGAATGTCCAATATGTTTATCCCACGCTATACCTTAACATACCGACCGTCAAATACAATGTCAACTTTGTTTAATAATATCCCCTTAAAACACACAACGAATTTAATCCATTTGATAAAATATATTGTGCAAAAATGTATAAGTCGAATGGTTGACTTAAAATTTCAGTGCGAGGGGCAGGGCTTTTTTTTTTAAGTGTACACTTAGTACATGTACAAATTCAAAGTTAAAATGATAAACAATGCGTGTGTAGGTTTTGAGAGTGATTTTGCATTCCAAAACACTTTAAAAAGTTTGTACCATAGCATCATTCTTAAAGTTGCTTTTATCCTTAGGAGTTTACCCAAAACACTATGTACTAGAATAATATAAAAGACTTGTTTTCAAAACTAAAAAAAGTCCAATAAAAGGCCAAACTTTAAATACCGCCCCTTTTGTATAAATATAATGACGCCTAGGAAGAATGTGTATTTGATAATAGACAATAAAGGTCCAAAACCTTTATTTTTATTGTTAAAGTAAACAATGCAACCCAATCTCTTTGTAGTAATACCTTACATTTGGCTAGAATTAAAAATACAAAAAGTTTTAAACAAAAGGGAAGAAGATCGATATTCATTACTTTTTTCTATGAAATAAATAGTAGGGGAAATCTGGAATATAATGTTATTGCATTTAGCCTCCAGGTATAACTAAATATTCACCTTGTGCACTTCTTAGCGTTTGATTATAAAGGTGCATATATCTTAACAGGTAAATCAGAGGATTTTTGTTTTGTATTTATGTCTAAGTTATATTGTGCACATAGTACATATACAAATTTTACATGAGAATTACAAAAATATATTCATATGCATATATACTTTTTATTTCCAAAAACAGGCACATTGACGGGATGTTACATAACTGAACAGGTGTGGTGTATGTTATGTAGAAGGTTTTTGCTTTCCCAAACATGGTTAAACGTGTCTAAAAGTAGATCAATTCTGAAAACTGAATTGACCATTTTTATATAGATTATATCCAAAACGCTAATATGTACTTCTTGTTTTGTAAATTTCAGTTCTTCTGTATAAAAATAATGACAGGTAGGAAGAGTGCGTATTTGAAAATAGACAATGAATATCCAAAACTTTTTTTCATTGTTAAAGTAAAAAATCTACTCTCGTGGCTAGAACTAAAAATTCATAAAAAGATTTTAAACGAATGAGCAACGAAAATCAACATTCATTTTTTTTCTTTGCAGTTGCCAATTATATCTTTCAAAATAAATAGTAGGGGGAATCCCTAATGTTATGCAATTAGCATTTAGCCTGCAGATACAAGATTTACCATGTGCACTTCTTAACGCTTGATTATAAAAGTGCATATATGCAAACAGGTAAATCAAAAAATTTCTGATTTGTTTTCAAGTCTAAGTAAATGGCAATTGAAAGGAATCCCTAACCCTAAAAACTATATATATATACATACAATGCTTTAACTTGTATGCAATGTTTAAACGTCGAAATAAAAAAATTAATAGATTCATATATTTGCAGTCTTTAAAATGTCATACTCCTATTATGCAATTTCATTTAAACAAATTGTATATTTTAATAAATTGCCTTTTAATTAGTGGGATTTTCCTTTTTACGTCAAAAATTCTTTTAAACAATATGTTAATTCTTCAAGAAATAAAAAAATACTTTATTAAAAATGGCTATGTAATTTTTTGAAAATAGCTTTGAGTCGTATATAAATTCACAGTACATAGAAATACTAGTATCATATTAGACCCGATCATGCACGTATTCGTTTTATCTTACGTGTTTGTTGGCTGTTTTGCCTTTTCTATGGCATGTAGCTGTTTTCCTCAGCATCCTCAAGTTCAGTTCTGTAACTCCGACTTTGGTAAGGCAGTTGTTGTACTCTTTATTGTCTTTATGTTTAAAAGAATTTTGCATACGGCGTATCTTATGTTTACATTATAAGACTTTTTTTCTCCTTTCGTGTTTATTATGAAAATGATTAATATGTTTTACGGTATGGCCGTTGGGGCGAGCGCAGTCATTTAGTACCAAAAACCTATACTTACCTAGTCTAGTAGTTTTTACTTGAACTGTCTATTCTCAGTTTATTTCAAAAAGAGAAGAAAAAATATCAATTTCTTCCCTGGCATTAGGATCAAGATTCCGAAATTCTCGGAAGTTTCCGACAAAATTGGAAATACCCGAGCCGTTGAAGTGACGAAAGTATGACGTCAGATAAAAAGTCCTGTTGACTTAGAACGCAAACGATAGTGTTGTGGCTTGGAGATTGCATTAAATCATTGTTGTAATTTTTTCAAGTAAGTTATTGCTATGTATAATCCTCCATGTTGCTATGCACCGCAAAGGATTATTGGGAGTTTGGAATGTTTTCATGCGGACTCATAAAAATTTCTTGGAACAATGTGCAGATTTCAACCCGAATTTCCTCCGTTCGTACACGTTAGTGTATTGAGCTCGCTACGTGAGCGGCGCTTTGCACCGCCTCGCTGCGCTCGCTATATTATGTAAATAATTCGATTGAAGTGAACTTTATATCTAATGTTTGTGCTTTTAATTTCTTGTTTCTCACCTACCCATATTTTTCTATAGTTGTCAAGGCAACGGTATTGGAAAGAAAACCCGGTAACAACGAATTTAGACAGGAAGTGAAATATGAAGTCAATATTCTAGAAGATTACAAGGTATTATTCTTATTTTTTTTTATTTTTCTGTTTTTCATATCCTGCAATTTATTATTCTATTTTTGAATCAAGGTGAAGATAATTATCGAATAAGAATTTTTCATAATTATTATATTTACTACCGCAGAACAGTTACGGTCCAAACCGTGGAAGAAGGGCAATATACACCGCCTCAAATGGTGCCGCTTGTGGCTCTTACTTTCAATTGGATAAGACCTATATTATTGCAGGTAAATTCTTCAAATCAAAAAGTCCTTTAGAATGTTCTCATTTCAAATTTAAAAATGGAAAATAGGATTTATTGCACTTAATGAATTGATACATACTGTAACGATTTATAAGGAAAAAAATTTAAATGGTATTTTTTCGATTATTTGAGAAAAGGATTCGAAAATATAACAAAAATATAAATTAAAAGTTGTTTTTCAATTAACATAACAGTTTTTGTTGTACCTCTCTGGTTAATAAAACTCAAACGAACTTACCACAGAGATACAGATTTACAAAATGTATCTGATTATTTAAAAATGCCCTCTCAGCAACTTTCTAAGTATATGCCAAGCTTGGTATCTTTACAAAAAGACCCTTTAAAGGTAAGAGATATAACTGTAGTCGACATTTAAAGTTCTGAATTTAACAAAAAAAGTCAGGGTTTGTGATTTTAAATCACTATTTAAAATGGTTTGTCCCAATTTGCACACATTCATGTACATTCTTCCATAATGAAGGTGAAGAAAAAAATATGTGCCAAAAAAGCAATATTAATATCACAAAACGATTACATTGTGCGTGCAAAGACGCATTTTTTTAATTTGTGAAACACTGATGCCCTTATAAATGCTTTTTTGCAAAAATTAATTTTCTCAATTACAAGTAAAAATCCAATGTCAAGAGATGAAAAATATTCCACCTAAAGAAGGAATTTGAAAGCCCAAGTACTAACCATTCATAAGATAAGGCCAGGGGTTTTAATGCGGATCAAACACGAAGTTCAAGGTCAGAGTGTCAAATTAAGGAAAGATGATACAAACAAACTTTTGTCAACAGACAGACTGACGGACATGACAAAGCTATAAATATCCGAAGTTTCGACTTTATGGGAGTAATTATCTTGTTTTGGTTTAAAAGAACATGAATTAAACTGGACATTGCTAAATGACAGGTACATGGCGAAACGTATATTATAGATATTAATTAAACACTACTTTATTTGCTTTTTTCTTTCTTAAATTCTCTAGTAGTTCAAATTTACATGTTTATTTCTTTATTGTAACTAGATGTGAATCTGTTGGATTTAATCAAAATTTTTCTCTTCGTGTTTTTACACTCTCGTCTCTCTCTTTCTCTCTCTCTGCATATTTTTTTCTTAATCACATGCACTTTTTCAAATCGCCATTAACAAAGCAATTCAAGCCATCTAAATGTGAAAAAACCCATTTTAAAAAAGATATATAATCATATAAAATAGAACATATTTTATTTAATTTATTTTTAATTTTCCAAATTAATGTTGTTTATTTATCATTAGGAGGTATACAAACGGGCGTTTCAATAATATGTTTTATGTGGTTTTTATAATTTGTTCTACCTTCAAGAAGCACATGAAAATGTGTTTGGATTACAACTGATTGTGATGTAAATGTTTTTTTTTTTAATTTAACTATTTTTAGGAGGCATACAAGGAGGTATTTGGACTACATACTCATGTGGTCTAAATGGTCTTTATAAATCTTTCTCAAGATATCAACGAAAAGCTTTCAAACGAGGAATATACAAGAGAAACTGTGGCTGCAATGTAAGTTAAATATATTTTTTATAAGTAAAATATTTAATACAACCGAGTACATTGTAGTTTTTATTAGCTGTTCTACAAGCAATGTAACGTTTTACATATTTTTAAAATAGATTAATAATTTTTTAGTTATCAGGAATATTGCTTAAAATCATAGCTTATAGTGAATGATAAAATAGTGCTGCATGTTTCAGGTTGTTGACTGCACTGAATTATTTGACGGTAGAAAGTGTCCATCCAAGTCAAATAACCAGTGTATCATGACATCTGATAGAAATTGCTGGTACAATCAAAATGCCTGCACACAATCAAAGTACGGATGTGACTGGGACACCCGTTCCTGTCGTAAAACATATAAACCAGGAAAATAAATGTTAATTACACAAATAAAGGAATAAGTGATGACAATTGAATACAGAATAATCTGGAAAGTAACATGATGTAAAAATAGTATATAACACTTAACAAAAACTGACGCAATATCCCCTTCCCTTATATCAAACTCGAAAATCTAATTATCTGCTATGCTGCTTGACCCCCTTCCCTGCAGTCACGCATTTTAACGCATATACCATTTCCTATAGTATTTTTAACGCAAAATCACGCAGAAACCATTTTCCCGCAATCATGCACTTTTTAAATAATTTCAAAGTTATATTTAGCTTTCAATTTTATCACTATTTCCTTCTATTTGATACTTTTAAAATCTTATTAAAGAAAAAAAATTATAAGGGTTAGGGAAAATATAACACGTCATAATTATTAATGCCAAATTTTAGAGAATTTTGTACACTCTATAGAGTAATTGCAGGGAAAAGGTAACGTCATACGAACATTAAGTGTATACTGTGTCGCAGTTCAGGAATTTTTAAAGTCCAAATAATGAATGACAAATTATCAACGTTAAGTTTTTAAAAACTGAATTTTCAATTCAATGACCTCGAAAATCATTGTTTCGAAGGATTAACTAGTTGACGGATTGATAATGGCCATCCCCAAAATGGAATATGCAGACTCTCATAATTAAAAGCTGAACATATTTCTTGGGAGCACTATGTTTTTTTTTTGTTGTTTTTTTTTTACAAAACTATGTACATGTATTTGAATAAAGAAACAATGTTATATATACCATGTTTTACTTCATTTATTTAATTTTTGTGGATATATTGTTTCTTCGGAAGTATTAAGTGACCCACGAATTTACGTCCACCGCAAAATATAAAGTGTCAAACAATACTCTACTAATAATGCATCATTCATAAGTAAACTCATCTCACTAAATATGTTAAATACTTGAACATATTTAACAAGATTAATCTTTTACTTCATTTCATGAAGGTTAGGGTTAGGGTTCATCTCATGAAACTTTATCTGGTCTCGAAGTATTCAAATTCACAACAAATAAGATTTTTTATTATGTATTCTGGTTTATTAATCAATAATAAAGCCTCTTTTGAAATTAAACGTACTCCAAAACTGATTATACAAGTGTTATCCCTAATAAAAGCACAGTTCTGACTAATATGAAGTCAGAAAGTGTAGACAAATTAATATACACGATATTGTATATAGCAACGACTTTAGCAAAAGCAGTGTCTTTTTTTAAAACCCCAGACTTTTTAAGTTCAGAACTATTAATTTATTCTTAAATAATCAATTAAGAACATAGCTGTTATTAAATACATCTTGAATTTCTAGTTGTTATTATACTCTGGTTGCTGTTTATCAAAATAACTACATTTATTTATATATTATATATTCACAAAGATCATCAATGAATATCGCAGACAGTATAAATGGAAGACTGACGTATTTGCCATTAGTTCGTCTTAAATATGGTCGGCTCATTTGTGGTTCGATGCCGACCCCTGAGAGGTTATTTGGTGCTCTTAAACACATCTCTAGGGAAAAATCTGGAAAGAGGAATACATGACAGTGCAAAGATTTTGAGAAAGAATTGGAGAGGTACAACTTTCAACTTACTAGGAAATCAGTTATCAGTTGATCTAAAAGATATTATGGATAATCAATTATGATTCACACTACCTAAAATAAAAGCTTTGATTTAAATATGGAATCAAAGAATTCTAACTCCAATTGGTCGTATACTGTTAAATCACATATTTTCGTGGGGTCAAATTTTCGTGGTTTAAGTAAAAACTCTTGGTTCATGGGCATTTGAATTCGTGGATGAAGAATTGTTGAGAAGTTATTCATGTAACATTTTACATCTCCTGGTGGACATGAATTCTTGGATCTCTTCATACCTCGAAAACAACGAAAATTAAACCCCCTCGAAATTGTGAATTCACAGTAACTGTTGTTAAGTCTCTTGTCATACCTAAGCTTAATCATCTATTTGTTTCTTTCCCATCTCCTCGAAAACAGTTTTAGTTGATTTACAAAAAGGTGTTTTTGAATTTATATGAAAGTCCAAATCGGATAAGATTAAGCAATCCCTCCTTCAAGATAATCTTTCTTGGGGTCTTAAAATGGTCGATACAGATAATTGTGAAATTGCTTTAAAATCTTCCTGGATGAAAAGGTTAACTCAAAATCAAGACATGGATGGATGTTTTATACATTAAATGGATGTTATTGGGAAGTATTTTGGGTATTTGTTACATCTACTTTCCAAAAACAGTGCTTTCTGGCAAGACGTATTAGAATCATTACAGCGTTTCTGAGGAATTAGTCTGATTTTTTTTCAAGCTGGCATAAATTTTAACAAGATTAACAACAACAAAATATTCAATTCTATTAACACCTATTCCATATGCCAAGTTAAAGTCCACACTTTTCGATATTAGTGACAGCTGCTTTTCTGATGAAAATTGATCTCGTATCTAATTACTGTACAAATGTGCGTACCTCATTGCATAATATTGTGAACTTAATATTCTATGATATTTTTGCTTCTATTTTTGTGATCATATTGTCAGTTATACTATCTCGATATATCCCGTTAATTTTGAGATAAAAGATACTACGAAGTCTGACACATTGTACATGTATCATATTTGGATATGTCAATTGAAAGAGACTTAAATATTAGTTATTCAAATTAGCATAATGACAAACATGATGTTAACTTTTAAATTTTTAACTCTCCTTACCTTTGTAGCAATATACCCTCATCACCTGCATACGTTTCTAAAACGAGTTACACCTGATCTCACGTCTGACGTTCTAGAGGTCATTATTTGCTCTGCTCCTAATTTGTAATGTTTAATGGACTTTTGAGAATTAATAATGTTCATTATATTCACATGTTTTAACCAGCATCATTAGAGATCCGTTTTACCACAATTTTTTCCAACTATAAATAAAAAATAATTGGCTTTACTAATATTAATTTGTGTCCGGTTCATATCTGTCCTATGGATAAACTTTGTATGTTCTAATTTTTAACAAAGATTGCTTATGACCTGAGGATGTGCCATGATTTTGAGCCAAGGTCATTTGAATAACTTCAAGGTCATTGAAAGAAAAAGTTCAAAATTGATGTCCTTATCTTTCTTAATGTAAGATATTGACACAAATGTGGACTTGTTTATGTCGGTGAAACCAAGGGATCACTCGGATCTGTGATTATGGATATTGCATATCATAGGCTTTTTAAACCCCTTCGTTTTACGGAAGGATATTGAAATAACGAACAGTATTCAGTCTCAAAGTCCATAAAACAATACAAAATAAGAGCACAGCAAACACGGACCCCCAAACATCAAAGGTGGGATCAGGTGTCATGGAGGGGTGAGCATGATAAGGAAATAACGGAAAAAAATCCGTTGTCAATTCAGTGTATAGATAATGGACTAACAATTGGTATGAAAAATGTCAGTCAGCATTTGACTCAATGATAAATTGTATTTGCTGACAAGGTCATTGTATCGACCATAGAATTTTACGAAATGATGACCTTAAACGAGACTGTTGATATTCTTGTTTCATCAACTTGCTTGTCAATAATTTACCTCGTTTTAGAAAGAAATGCAGCTAAAACTGCGTCTTTCCCATAAACTTCAATATGCCAATAAAGGAATTGACGCGGTTAATATAAGTAATATTCTTAATCACGAAAGGGTCTCGTCTTGTATTCAATAAGATACAATGACCTTGTCAGCAAATACAATTTATCATCGAGTCAAATGCTGACTGACGTTTTTCAAACAAATTGTTAATCCATTATTCATACACTGAATTGACGACGGATTTTTTCGTTATTTTCCGATCATGACAAGGAGTACACGGCGGGTGTGACCGATCTGCAGAGGATTCTCACTCCTCCATGGCACCTGATCACAACTTTGATTTCTCGTAGGTCAGTGATTGCTCTGATCCTATTTTGTATTGTTTTATGGACTTCGATATTGAATACTCTTCGTTATCTCCATATCCAATTTTCACACAGAATCTGCTTATGACTTTAAGGTGTAATATGACCTTGATCCAAGGCTATTAATACAAGTTCAAGGTCATAGAAAGAAAAAAAATCATATTCTATAGCCTGTCTCTATCTTTCCTTAGGATAGACTTTGTAAGTTCCCGTTTATAAAAAGATTGCTTATTACCTTAGGGTGTGTCAAAATTTTGAGTCAAGATTATTTGGACAAGTTCAAGGTCACTGTAAGAAAACGTTCATATCATTAGTCTTGATGTTTTATTAGACAATGCCTAAGTTCCATTTATTTATATATATATATATATATATATATATATATATATATATATATATATATATATATATATATATATATATATATATATATATATAAAATGATCGATTACCAGTAAATCTAACTTTAAATGTTTAAACAAATTGTGAACATCATTACTAGCATCAGTGACTTTGAATATTTTTGAAAAACCAAGCGGGGGATATTTGTCAATTTTGGACAATTCTAATTAAAATATGATTAAAGTTTTTGCGACAACCCAAGAAACTGACTGGCAGACAAATGGTTATTAATATCCTCCTGCTTTCCTGAGGTGATAAACATAAACAAAATTCTCAGAAGTAGGTATGACAAAAATACAAACAACTGAATTAGAGCTGTGTGTCACAAATAAACAATGAACAATGTACCAGGTCTTTGAACAAACTATTGGAATTTTTCATTGGAAACAATTGCATCCCGTTATAAGCAGAATTGTATTCATATGAAGCAGAATCTGTCCAACATCTGATACATGTACGTGAAAAGAAGAAAACATTTGCTATGGTCTTCAACTTGACATTTGAACTTTAAACAGTTAGAATTAAAACTAGAGCCGAGCTCGTTGCAAAGCAACGAATAGGTCTTCCGTTGGAGCTACGAATAGGAAGACGTAACCTTGAGTCTAGGTCAAGCCACATTCTAAAGATATACAAGTAAGCAACCTAAAGGCTTGTAAAGGAAGCAACTTACAATGTTTCGCCAGGAAAAAGACTGTAAAGGAATGTATGTGACCTTGAACTTTCTAAATGACCTTTCGTCAAGCAATGACAAACTCTGTTATAAAAATCTAATATGTGTATTACCGACTGGAAAAGTTCACATATGTTTTTTTAGATATTCTTTTAGTCTATGAATCCAGCCAAAACATCTTATCTTTAGTGACCTTGAACTTGAGTCAAGGTCATGTCCCACCCTGCATTATACATGCATCAGCAATGTTTCACAGGTACAAATACTTTAGCAAATTTACAGTTTCTCTGTCAGTAACCTTGACTCGTCCGAATGACAGGATGTGTTCAGCTTTATTTTTTTCTGGCATAGATCGAATCGGAAGAATTAATTAGGTTCAACACTATGAATTACCTAATGATTTAACTAGAAATATATCTACAGGACATGAATGCCCCGCCAAGTGTA